ATAAATTTTAAGCCACCGGGTCCGGGGCACGAACCGCGTTCAACTATGTGGGAGTCCAGCGACATAGCCATTACATTAACTGCTGGTCCTAGGCAAAAACCTCTTAAAAAAATAAATTAAAAAAATAAAAATTAAAAATACCTCATACTATTTAGATGGCCAGTGATGTGAGTAGAAGAGAATTCTGGAGGAGGGAGAGATGGCAATGTTAGAAATAAAAAACAGAGCAGAGACCCGGGCGTGATGTGCAGTTTGGCTCAACTACAGTGTGACTGCTCCAGTGAGGGAGAGGCAGGGTGAGGGGAGTCACAGAGGGCCCTAAAACCCAGCAAGGGCATGTGATTTAATCACGAAAGGTAATCAAGCAACAGAATGACAAAATTAAAGACATGTTCAAGAATTGTCCAAAACACCAACAGGTTTGTAGTGAGTTCTCAATGAGTTTTCCTACTTGGGAAAACCTACATGGTTTCCACTGCAAGGATTTTTTTTTTTAAGAATTACTTTATTTATTTATTTAAAATTTGACCAGAGAGGAGCAGATTGAGAGAGAGAGGGAAAGTGAGAAAGCAAGCTGCCAGGTCCAGGACTCAAACTGCAGTCAGCCGCGTGGGAATCCAGCACCCTTAACCACCACACTGCCTGCCAGCTCCCCACTGCAAGGATTTTATTACAGCTTTCTAGGCAGCCTCCCTCTTTCAGGTCCTGCTGGTTCCTACAGTACGAGACTGCCACGTAACCGAGGTCCGAACAGATGAGATTTACTACAATTTCTGAAGAGTCTGCTTCTTTTGCTCTGTGCCCCAGGGAGACATTTATCACTGGAAAATCATTTTTAAAAGTTTTGAGATGGCCAGCAATTCAATTTCTGAGTATATACCAAAAAATAATTAAGAGCAGGGTCTGAATGAGATATTTGTACACTTAAGTTCATAGCAGCATTATTCACAAAATCCAAAAGGCGGAAACCACCCAAGGGTCTGCTGACGAATAAATGGATTAAAAAAGTTGGACTAGGAACCAGCAGATGGTGTAATGGTTACATTGCTAGACTCCCACATAGACAACTGCGGCTTGAGTCACGGATCCGGAGGCTTCAAACTCATGCCGGGCACATGTGTGTGCATGCGCACAATCCCAAGAGGAGAATGGAGGAGAAGGAATTGTAGCATAGCCACCCCCACTGTGAGGTGTGTGTGTGTGTGTGTGTGTGTGTGTGTGTGTGTGATTTCTCACTTTTTGTCTCTATCCCTAGCGAGTGCATGCTCCCTATAGCAAAAATCTCTCTCAAAAAAAAAAAAAATGGCTAAATACATTGAATGGAATGTGATTCTGCCTTAAAATGAAGGAAATTCTGATACATGTTATCACAGGGATGAACCTTGAGGACGTTATGCTAAGTGAAATAAACCAATTACAAAAAGACCAATATTATGTACTTCTACTTAGATAAAGTACCTAGACTAGTCAAATTCATAGAAATAGAAAGCATTAATTAATAGAAATGGTTTCCAGGGCCTATGGGGAGAGGACGATGGAGAACTATTGTTTAATGTGGCTAGTTTCAGTTTTGTAAGATGAAAAGTTCTGGAGACTTGTGAGTATACTTAACAATGGAACAAGTATACAATGATGTGAGTATACTTAACATTACCGAACTGTACTCTTTATAATGGCTAAAGCAGTAAGTTTTATGTTATGTGCATTTTACCACAATTCAAATAATTTTTTTTTTAATTTCACAAGTGATACAGATCCAAAACCTTTCATCTATAATTCTGAAATCCAAAAAGCTCTGAAAACCAAAGCTGGATTACAGTCTGCTGTCCCAGGCCCCTGGACCTACTATATAATAAATAATAGATGCACCGTACTCATCTTCCAAAATCAGAAAACCTAAATGCGGACACACACCTGGTCCTCAATCTGGTTTCATATAAAGGACGGTTGACCTATATTCTAGTAATATCCTTTCTTCTTTAGATGAGAACAGATTGATCATGGACACATGATCCATCCATTCATTAACTAATGATGCCTTATATTACCATGGGCCTGAGGTCATGCTAGCTGGTCTCTGCTTTGGAAAGAGTAATTGACAACTGAAGTAGAATAATGATCAGGCAGCCCTTTGTTTCATTGACTCACTTCCTTTTACCAAGTTCAGGTTTCAGTTCAGGGCAGTTGCCAGGTGCTGGATGTTACAAGTCGCACCAGAAAGCCCAACAGGACAGGGCCTGCCTGGCTGCATGGCAGTTTTCAGGACTGCTTACCAGATCACACCTGGGCACGCTGGACACAAACTGAGCCCCCTGGCAGCCGAGGATAAAGCCTGCCAGATTCAAGAGGACACAAACCACGGACAGCAGCACAAAGAGGTTCACCTGAAATGGAAGAGAACGGCAGTTAGCAAAAGGCAACAGCAAAATGCAGAGTTTTATCTGAATGAATAAACTCATATTCACTTTCAAGAGGAAACTTTAAAAAAAAAAAAAGGGTCAGAACCTTGTTTTAAAAAATGTAAAATGCCATAGGGTATGTGCACTTGCCAGAGAGAGACACAGAGAGAGAAAGAGAGACTGCCCACCACCATTCCTTCCCTTCCCTTCCCTTCACACCACAATCCCTTCTGCATCTCTCCCTCCTTTCAGAACTTTGGACACACACACACACAAACCTGGCACGTTTTTCAAGCTGCCATCCATGACTCAAACTGCATGGTGGGTCCATGTGGGACCCAGCCTTAACAACTAGGACAGGGACTGGCCCAAATCATGTTTTGAAATTTATTATTTTTTTTTCTTGGTATAGGGCACATGAACTCGCCAGAGAAAGAGAGAGAGAGAAAGTGAAAAATTACCCCTGGGGCAATGTCCACACCACAATCTCTTTTCCATTCTCCTCTCAGAATTTTGGCCATGCACACACACATGCCTGGCATGTTTTTCAAGCCACCAGATCCAGGACTTAAACTGCAGGGTTGGCCATGTGAGATCCAATTACCTTAACCACTATGCCACCATTTGGCCCCCTGAATAATGTTTTTAGTGTATGAACTTTTTTCACATTTAAAAAGTTTTTAAATTGTGCTAAGGACTATCACTGACTCTCAAGGCTTTGCGATAATCTCCAGTAGCTGGGACCAGCAGATGGCGTAATGGCTATGTCACTGGACTCCCATGTAGTTGACCGTGGTTCGAGTCCCAGGCCCAGTGGCTTAAACTCACACTGGGTGTGTGTGCGTGTGTGCCCAACAGCGAGAGGAGAGAATGGAAGAGAAGGGATTGTGGCGCGGCCATCCCCCCTGGGGGATGATTTCTTGCTTTCTGTCTCTCTCTGTTTTTCTGGTGAGCACACGCGCCCTATAGCAAAAAAACCTCTCAAAAAAAAAAAAATCTCCAGTCCCTTTACTTATTTTTTCCTCTTTGTAGATAGTCCTTAACACTCTTATCTCTTAACCATATATTATACTAAACCCTGGCTATTTTCTTCTTGAGTCATTCTTATTTTTCCTGGGTTTTGTGGGACCAACAATAAGTAGAAAACTCTAGAATATAAATGCAACCCTGGAATGTCAAGGAACTCACAGTCATTCATCCCAGAAATCACAGCAAACAAATGAAGTTAGACATGCCTTTTCTAGCTCAGAATAGTTTAGGTACTAAAGGAGGATACGACAATCTTCCATGTACTTTCCCTCCAAAGTTAAAAACTAAAGGAACAGCCAGTGGCATGTTGGTTAAGGTGCCAGATCCCATATGGCCAAATGCATGGCTTGAGTTCCAGACCTGGTTGGCTAAAAAAAAAATTAAAAAATTAAAAAACACCAGGAGCAGGTGCATGTGCCCAAAGTCTCAAGAAGAGAAAGGAGAAGAGGTTGCACTGTGACAATCCCCCTAGGGGGTACTTTCTCACTTTCCCTCTCTTTGTTTCTCTCCAGCAAGTATACATGCCTTATAGTCGATTTTTAAAAACATGAAAATATTACTGCAAGTAATTGAGAATTGACAGACGTCAACCATGAAGTCAGTGTTTACTTACAGTCTCCAAATTAGAGACTATGCAGGCCTTTCAACCTGAGAGCTGTGATAATTATGAAAAACCAAACCTTATGGCAAATATGAAGGCAAATATAAAAGATTAGTGCTGATGATTATCCATGTTAGAACCAAGTACCAATTCAGGCAGCTGATATGTCAGAACTGGCAGGGACATGGGTTCAAAGCTAGTTCGACAACTATTGTTCTTATTCCCAGTCCAGTTTGAAAGCATCTCCCAGACCCATGTTAGGAGTCGGTATTTACTCCCACGAGATGCCAACTTTTCCTGAGGGGACTTCCTTCTTCCTCTCCAAGAGAGACGAATCTGGCTTCTCTCCTTTTATCGGTCACTGGTATGCGTCCTGTCATCAGGTCTTTGGGAAAATGCTGGCAGTGGCTGCTGATGTTACTCTCACCCAGGCTGGATTCCTCAGTATCTACACACTCGACTTGATCAGCACACCACGGGTGTCCTCTCTTGCGCTGTATCACTCATGATTATGCCAAAGTTTTTTGGAACAGGAGAATGGATAAAAGGTAAAGGGCAGAGCATGATCTTTTCCACATGGCAGGTGCCATTCAAAGAAATCTAATATAACCAGAATCTTCACAGCCAACATGCGATCATTGTTACCATAGGGAAGTCTTAGTGTCATATGAGATGCTCTGAGAAGGAAGCATGAGGAGGGTCCCATGTTCACCAGACACCACTAGTCTTCCTAATTAAAAATTAGCAGCATCAGGTAGAGAATAGGTGAGAGTTCATTCCTCTCAACACTGGACTCCACCCATATCTCTTGACTAAACTCTTAAATCTAGTCTATCAAGGGGTCAGCAGGTGGCATGGTGTGGTTAAGGAGTTGGACTCCCACACGGCTGACCGTGGTTCAAGTCCCAGACCTGGTGGCTTAAAAATCATGCCAGGGGTGTATGTGTGCATGTGTGCGCCCCAAATCGCAGGAGAATCGAGAAGACTGAGACATGGCCATCCTCCCTGGAGGATGATTTTACACTTTCCCTCTCACTGTCTTTCTCTTTCTCTCTCTGGTGAGCACACACCCTATGGGGGAAAAAATCTAGTTCATCAAAAAACAGAGTTAACAAAAATCAGTGAGCGGGACTAGCAGATGGCATAATGGCTACATCACTGGACTCCCACACAGTTGCCTGTGGTTTGAGTCTCAGACCCAGTGGTGTAAAACTCATGCTGGGAGCATGTGCACGTGTGCCCAAAATCTCAAGAGGAGAATGGAGGAGAAAGGACTGTGGTGTGGCTATCCCCCTGTGGGATGATTTCTTGCTTTCTGTCTCTGTCTCTCTGGTGAGCACAAGCACCCTATAGCAAAACCTCTAAATCAATGAGCAAGCCAAGGCCTGGGGGAAAATATTTTCATGCATACATTAAACAAAGAACAGGCATCCAGGTTACCCAGAGTATGCTGAGTGACTGCCTGCAAATATGCAACTAACTTCTCTACTTAATATAAGGGGACTTCAAACATTTCCTAGGAAAATGGAATTAAAGTATAAATTTATTTTAGTACCAAAAATATTGAAATCCATGCAAAATCTTTTTTCTTTTTTTTTGGAGAGATTTTTGCTATAAGGTGTGTGTGCTCACCAGAGAGACAGAGAGAGACAGAGACAGAAAGTGAGAAATCACCCCCCCGGGGGGATGGCCACGCTGTAATCCCTTCTCCATTCTCATGTCAGGATCTTGGGCAAACATGCACATGCACCCGGCGTGAATTTAAACCACTGAGTCTGGGGCTCAAACCGTGGTCTACTACATGGGAGTCCAGCGACAAAGCCATTACGCCAACTGCTGGTCCTGCAAAATCTTTTTATAACACACATTCCCATGAATTTTCTGAATACCCCCTTATAATAAAGAGACAAAGATCCCAATTAAAAATTGAGCTAAAAGGGACCAGCAGATGGCGTAATGAAGAATTGGTGAAGATGAGGAACACTTGGACTTCCAGATACTGCTTATATGAGTATAAAACAGTACAGTCACTTTAGAAAACTGTCAGTTTCTTTAAAATTAAATATAAATCTCCTATGCAAAAGAATTCTAAGTAATGTATAGAGACACTCTACCTTCCACTCCCCATTTTTTAAGTGTGGCCTGCACATGGTGACTTCTTCTGAAGAACAGTATGGAAAGAAGACTGGAAGTAACTTTCCAGGGGAGAAACAAACACTACGTCAACCAGGTGGCCACAGTTAACATTGGTGAAAAGTCATGGCAGTAGCAGACGCCCTTAATAAGATGTGATGAAAATGGAGCTTTACTGTTGTGGTCCTCCTCCTCAAAACCCACAATAACCTTAGTCTACTCATAAGAAAAACATCAGACAGTCCCAACTGGGCACATCCTACAAAATGCCTGATGAGTACTACTTAAAACTGTTACAGGTGGGACTCCCACATGCTGACCGTGGTTCAAGTCCCAGACCTGGTGGCTTGAAAATCATGCCAGGTGTGTGTGTGTGTGTGTGTGTGTGTGTGTGTATATATCTCCCAAATCCCAGGAGAATCGAGGAGAGGACTGAGGCATAAACTCACACTGGGTGTGTGTGCGTGTGTGCCCAAGATCCTGAGAGGAAAATGGAGGAGAAGGGGTGGCGGTGTGGCCATCTCCCCCAGGGGGTGATTTCTCTCTGTCTTTCTAGTGAGCACACAAGCCCTATAGCAAACACTCCCCCCCAAAAAAACAAAACAAAACAAAA